GCAGTTGTGCAATGGAAACTTGTTTATTATTGCATTGAAAATTGTAGCAGCAGCAACTTCATTCATCTTCATGTAATGTAGATACAATGAATAATAACCTGATTGTGACTTAGTCCTTCACCACCATCAACAACCAACTTTATTGACCACTTTTTTTCTCCTATAAACTAAACCAACACCAACACTGGAGACTGGACTGCTGCTAATTAAACATAAAATGGCCCAAGATTGAAGATGATTTACATATATATAATTTATGTCCCTGAAACTCCCAACCCAAATGAACTTGACCTCAACAATATTCCGCAGTGCACCATATTCCCAGTCACATGACTGTGCAGCCTTGGGGATTTTCTTCACTGAAACAGTCAGAGCGGGCAACACAATAGTTAGTATTGTAGCTCCTGCCACCACCATAACTGTCGTATACAGGCCTTCCGTAGTAACCATTACTCCGCCATAGCCAGTCTGGCATGGCCCACCAGGATGCCCATGGTAACAATCCATACAGCATGCGTTCACGTTCACTGGGTAAAGCATTGGGTGGCCTACAGGAACAGGCGCAGGCCCAGGGTTTGGTGGTGGATTTTTGGGTTTCTCGGGCTCTTTGGGCTTCTCAGGCTCTTTGGGTTTCTGGGGCTCCTTGGGCTTTTCGGGCTCTTTAGGCTTCTCAGGCTCTTTGGGTTTCTCGGGATCCTTGGGCTTTTCGGGCTCTTTAGGCTTCTCAGGCTGTTTAGGCTTTTCTGGCTCCTTGGGTTTCCCTGACGACGATGGTTTGGGCTTCTCAGGCTCTTTGATCTCAATGCTCTTGATGGCTCCCCCACCTTTGCAGCATATCCTGTCCCTTATCTTCTCTGGACTGCAGCATACCACTTTGATGACCACCTGGTTTTGCTTCTCGTCGTATGTCTGGTCTCGTATTTCTCTTGTTCACAAAATCCAATTCCACAACACACACATTTACTCAGTTTAATTACATTCTTTTTGGTTTTAACATGTCTATGTGACTATGTCAATGGAGGGAATTATACAAAGGAAAAGATAGAGAGACTCACGAGGGAATTTGCAGAGAACTTTTTTGACCTTCTTATAGCATTTGTGACACTGAAGGTCCACCTTCAGCACCATTATCGTCACCTGAAGTGAACCCATTTACAATTAGGGGACAATAAGCAGACTACAATTAAGAATTTCAGAAAATCAAACAAATAATAATATTATTTACAAGAATCAAGATGGCTGCTGCTCCTGGACCTGCTGTGGTGCCCAAGAAGAAGAGAAAGTAAGAAACTTTATGGATGGATTGTGGTTTGTAGAAAAAAAACAAGTGGAATGAGGTTCTGACTTCTGACTGGGAAGAATCATGATGAGTAACTGACAAAATCAAGAACAAAATGGATGGATTGTGGTTTGTAGACAAAAACAAGTGGAATGAGGTTCTGACTTCTGACAGGGAAGAATCATGATGAGTAACTGACAATATCAAGAACAAAACTCGGTGGAGTCTTGGAGATTGAAAAAAATAGCAGCCACAAAAGTTAAATAAGAGCTAGCTACGCCCGAGCCAGGCAAAATCATCAACTGGGTTTATCTACTTGTTATCAACTGAACTAAACCACTAAAAAAAGAAGAGGAAAACATAAACTTTAACAATTACCAACCTTCTCTTTTTCTGTCATTGCAGTGTGAGTGCGTGTCTCAGATCTGAACCTCAACTGAAATGATTGAATGGGACTGGAACTGAGGGGACCAACTTGTATATATATATATATGTGTGTATATATATATATATATATTAAAATATATATAAATTGAGGAATTCGGTGGAAGAGAGAGCAGAGAGGAAGAGAAGGAGAGGAGCAAGATTTGATTTAATTCAAGATGTTTATTATGAGTTTATAAATTATGAAAAATTGCTTGCTAAGAAAGAGTGGAAAGATGTGAGCACAATGTATTTCGTACACAAAGGTCCAATGGGATGCGAACACTTAGTTATTGGATGTTGATTTCATTTCATGGTATGATCATTGAAGCTGTCGTTATATAAGGGTAGTAATGGTGGCTTTCTTCGATCGCTAAAAGTTGCGAAGTGTCGTATTTGCATGTGCTGGCTTTGATTCACCCTCCGAACTTTCCAACTTCCAAATATTATTTTAAAGTAAATATTTCACCAACTTAGAGTTATTTGCATCCTAATCTAATCATAATTGAGTGCTTACAGATAGTTTGGTAGTCTTCAAGGGAGGGAGTGCCTGCCTCTGCCTGCCAACATTATTTCAATGAGACCCTCAAAGCAAAGCAAAACGAAGTAAAATTATATTCTAAGGTAATGGTCAAGTCTCTCAAGTGCAATTATGGATCATGCACCATTGCATTGCATTGCACGGTTGCACCCCCCACCCCACCCCCACATGGCACATGCCACGTGGAGAATCCTCCAGCTGTCTTTAGACCTAGTCCTCTACCTAGTAGGTGCCACCCATCTTGGACTAGTAAATTTGATTCATTTTTTGATTTCAAACACGGGATCTCAAGTGCAGATGAGATATATTTATATTATAATATATATATGGAATTAATTTGGTTTTCAATATATATTATCTGTAATGTTCTGGGGGCAGGAATATCATATGGATGATCAAAATTCAAAAACAGTGGGCTCCAGAAAGAGAAAACTGTGGCTGGTTGCTCAGATAGCCGTCGAAATGTCCTATAATTTCATACGCACGCAAGTGATTCAATCCGATTCGTCTTTTTTCTCTTAATATGACAACTAAGCTTGTACATGTCACGCATCACGATTGACAACTTGTCCAGTTGAAGAAGAAGGTATTGATCTGCACTCTCAGTCTCAGAAGCTATCCATAATTTGCACTCTCAGACTCAGAATAATGAATTTAATTGATTCAAAGTGTTTTGTTATTTTCCTAATTTGCACTCTCACACTCAGAAATAATATAATTATAATGGGAATTTTGTTGTCCATTTTAGCTTTGTCTCCTTGATTGATTTGATTCTAAGAATTAAAAAATTCATTTAAAATTGATGGCCTGCATTTATAAAGTGTTTGGTAGCTTGGTGGTTACAAGAGGACTATAGAAGCGAAAGGCCAATCTATCTGATGTCGTGCAAAAAGAAAAACTTATCACGTAAGGTAAAGTCCTCCTCCTAGAGAGAGACCAGACTCTCATCTCTACAATTTAATAAATTTGTACCCTCCCTCCTCCTCTACCCACCAAAGAGATAAAGAGGGTGTTTGTGATAAGTCATAATAAGTGGGGACAAAGATTAGGCAGGTTTTGGCACCATGCATTCCTCACGAACTTTTCTGGTGCCGACACTTCTCACCAATAATCCTACTAAGAATGGCCTTAGCTTCAAACATGTCCAAAATTGGGCTGGGCCACCTGATGCTCGCACTTCATACCCCAAACTTGTGCTAATCACTATAGACCCACCTTGGAAAACCCCAACTCTTTACTAATTACTACCGAAAGAACCCTTAGGCCATTCAGAGTTGAGTTGGGTTGGGTCGGGTCCAACATTTGGAAACAAAAGGTAAACTTAAAGTAGGAATGACAAAGCCCATACAAGCGATATTGGATGGGGATAAAATATCAAACTTAGGATCAGGTGCATCGATAAACATTCTTAATCACTTTGAGCTAAAATTGACTTGCAGTTATTTTCTTGTTTTAGTGCATTGCTACTAACCATTTGTTACATCGAAACAAATAAGACTACACATTTCATTCAGTGAACATTTATGTTTATTGGTGTGTTGTTCATACATATTATCCAAGGGGCATTATAAGAAGAAGATAAGATGGAAGGAGCAAGCCACATGCCCACATCACAAGTTGGGCACCCTGCCCAGATGGAACTTGGTTTAGACCAGTAGCATTATGGGCTTTTTGGCTTTCGCTGAATTTTGTCTCTCTTTTTTTAAGCATAGCAAGACGAGCAACTTAATAACAGACAGCCAACATGGTTAAACTAACTGACAAACATAAAAAGAGAATTAGGAAATGGAATGAAAACAAAACAAATATAAAGGTACGGATCAACCCTTTTTATATATTAAGCTCTTTCCACGAAGTCATTACACGCATATCTAAATTGATCTTTTATAATCAAAATGATGATGATGAATGATATCTCTTAATTGTATATATAAACAATTGAAATGGGTCAAACTAACCCCACAGAATTGGACTGGGAAAATATGATGGCCTTGGACCTCTCACTCTCCTCTTGTGGATTGTGGAGAGTGGAGATTGGGATGAGGGTGTTTATGGAGTATAGTAGCATCCCTTATTTTAAAACTTTAAATGATATGAAATGAACAACTAACACACATTATGAAGTAATTAAAGAAAAAGCATGTGCAGAGCAGTGCAGCAGTTGTGCAATGGAAACTTGTTTATTATTGCATTGAAAATTGTAGCAGCAGCGACTTCATTCATTTTCGTGTAATGTAGGTACAATGAATAATAACCTGATTGTGACTTAGTCCTCCACCACCATCAACAACCAACTTTATTGACCACTTTTTTTTCTCCTATAAACTAAACCAACACCAACACTCAGGGGCGGAGCCACAGTGGGGTCAGTGGGGTCGCACGACCTCTTGGAAGCTATGGAAATTGGCTTAGAGGTCCCTTGGAGTTGGGGGAGAGACCCCTTGGAACTGCACACCAGGTGCTCGATGCTTCTCCTGAGGAAGAAATTAGCTGCGTAAGGAAGAAGAAGAAAAGTTCTGTTCTGTTTTTTTTTTAAACTTCCTGGGCAAAACGACGTCGTTTTGACCCAAGAAGTTTTTAAAATAACCTGGCCCAGCAACTCCCCCCAAACCCACCCGATACTTAACTCATAAAACCCCCAAATTCTATATTTTCTACACTAGGTTCCCAACTCAATCTCCCACCCCCACCCCCAAACCCTCAACATGGCTGAAAAGGTTCAAAGCTGCGTTTGGAGCCTCATTTATTTGGCTTGTGGGCTTGACTTACTTCACCAGGTTTTCATTCTCTTCCCTCTCCATCTCTGATTTTATAAATTTATTGTTCTTAGTGTACTTAAACCTCTGTGCTACATTCTTTTATTAATTTTTGAGGAATTTAATATTTTGGGTCATTATATAATGGGGTTTTTTGTGTTTCTAGGAGGTGGAGATCTTTTGTGATTCTAGCTGGTGGTATGGAAAAGCTCATATTCAAGTAATTTGTAAACTCTAAATCTCTAATTGATGATAATGCCTAATATTTTTATTGAATAATGATTTATTGGATTGGATGAATATTGATGATTTTGTGTGTGCATGATTTATTGGATTGGATAACTATAGATGATTTTTTGATTTGTTGGAATTTAGGGGTTATGATTAATTTTGTGATGGACTTTTTGTCATCCCCCTGTTTATTTATTTGTCTTAATAAAATTTGTTTCTTTTAAAAAATTGATTGACTGTTTGGTTTGATTAATTCATGTGTAGAATTATAGAACAACAAGAGAAAAGTAATAAAAAATTATCTTTTAGTGTGTTATTTTCATCTTTAAAAAAATATCCGAACTTTTACACTAAGACCCCTTGGAGTAACAATCCTGGCTCCGCAACTGCCAACACTGGAGACTGGACTGCTGCTAATTAAACATAAAATGACCCAAGATTGAAGATGATTTACATATATATAATTTATGTCCCTGAAACTCCAAACCCAAATGAACTTCCGCAGTGCACCATATTCCCAGTCACATGACTGTGCAGCCTTGGGGATTTTCTTCACTGCAACAGTCAGAGCGGGCAACACAATAGTTAGTATTGTAGCTCCTGCAACCGCCACAACTGTCGTACACAGGCCTTCCATAGTAACCATCATACTGGATGCATAGGGCTACTCTGCCATAGCCAGTCTGGCATGGCCCACCAGGATGCCCATGGTAACAATCCATACAGCACGCGTTCACGTTCACTGGTTTAGGCGGTGGGTGGCATGCAGGAACACGCGGAGGCGGAGGGTTTGGTGGGGGATCTACGGGTTTGGGTGGCTGTGGTTTGGGCGGCTGTGGTTTGGGCTTCTCAGGCTCTTTGATCTCAATGCTCTTGATAGCTCCCCCACCTTTGCAGCATATCCTATCCCTTATCTTCTCTGGACTGCAGCATACCACTTTGATGACCACTTGGTTTTGCTTCTCGTCGTATGTCTGGTCTCGTATTTCTCCTGTTCACAAAATCCAATTCCACAACACACACATTTACTCAGTTTAATTACATTCTTTTTGGTTTTAACATGTCTATGTGACTATGTCTATGGAGGTAATTATACAGAGGAAAAGATAGAGAGACTCACGAGGGAATTTGCAGAGAACTTTTTTGACTTTCTTATAGCATTTGTGACACTGAAGGTCCACCTTCAGCACCATTGTCGTCACCTGAAGTGAACCCATTTACAATTAGGGGACCATAAGCAGATTACAATTAAGAATTTCAGAAAAACAAACAAATAATAATATTATATACAAGAATCAAGATGGCTGCTGCTCCTGGACCTGCTGTGGTGCCCAAGAAGAAGAGAAAGTAAGAAACTTTATGGATGGATTGTGGTTTGTAGACAAAAACAAGTGGAATGAGGTTCTGACTTCTGACAGGGAAGAATCATGATGAGTAACTGACAATATCAAGAACAAAACTCGGTGGAGTCTTGGAGATTGAAAAAAATAGCAGCCACAAAAGTTAAATAAGAGCTAGCTACGCCCGAGCCAGGCAAAATCATCAACTGGGTTTATCTACTTGTTATCAACTGAACTGAACCACTAAAAAAAGAAGAGGAAAACATAAACTTTAACAATTACCAACCTTTTCTTTTTCTGCCATTGCAGTGTGAGTGCGTGTCTCAGATCTGAACCTCAACTGAAATGATTGAATGGGACTGGAACTCAGGGGACCAACTTGAGGAATTCGGTGGAAGAGAGAGCAGAGAGGAAGAGAAGGAGAGGAGCAAGATTTGATTTGATTCAAGATGTTTATTATGAGTTTATAAATTATGAAAAATTGCTTGCTAAGAAAGAGTGGAAAGATGTGAGCACAATGTATTTCGTACACAAAGGTCCAATGGGATGCGAACACTTTAGTTATTGGAGGTTGATTTCATTTCATGGTATGATCATTGAAGCTGTCATTATATGAGGATGAGGGTAGTGATGGTGGCTTTCTTCGATCGCTAAAAGTTGCCAAGTTTTGTATTTGCATGTGCTGGCTTTGATTCACCCACCTCACCTTACCCTCCGAACTTTCCAACTTCCGAATATTATTTTAAAGTAAATATTCCATCAAAGTAAAGTTATGGGAGATTCACTATTATACCAAATATGGGAGCCTGAATTATAAAAAAACTATATATGAAATGGACTTTAGAAACTCACTCAAAGCTCATTTACAACATAATAAAAAAACTTTTAACTTCTTTTAAATTACAAAACTGTCATTGATTTCTTAAAACAGACCTAACTCCAAAACATCAACAAGAAAAAAAAACTCAAAACACTCAATAGGGCATCAAAGTAATTTAATAATTAAAATTAAATTAAATAGGGATAGCTGTCATTTTTTGGGTGTTTTTTTGGTTTGTTTATAGAAATTAAATAGTGTAGGGTTTATTTGTAGTTTTAGTGCTAAGAATAGGTATATAACTAAGGGCCCGTCTGGTAATGTTTTGGGAGAATGTTTTCAAAGAATGAAAACAAGAAAATAAATTTGCATTTTCAGGAAATGAAAATGCGTCTGGTAGATTAATTAGAAAACATCTTTAGAAATGTGGGACATGCGAAGAACAACTTCCTTCAATTTTCAATCCTCACTCACAAATCAGAAAACAATAGTTTTCTTTTACTTAAAGAATCGGATATCCCTCCACCCTGGGAATGTCGAGGCAGAGGACGTGGTGAGGGTCTGGATCTGGTGTGGCGGTGCACAGAGAGAGAGAGAGAGAGAGAGAGAGAGAGAGAGAGAGAGAGAAAGGGGAAAAGAGGGCATGTTTGTTGAAATGAAGGGACCATAAAAGATGAAGGCATAGATGTGGATTTGGATATGTTGCCATCGCTGCTGCCTGGGGTTGGTAGTGGGTGCCGGAGAAGATGAAATTACCGTGCTTTTGAATAAATTTATTTTAACATTTAATATTTTGTTAATAAAAATGACACTTAACAAAGTTAACATTCTGTTAAGTTAGAGGACACATGTCAACAAAATAAGAAAGAAACATATGGGAACAGGAGAAATGAAAACAGGGAAACTGAACTCGCCTCTACCTGCCAACATTATTTCGAGTTCAATTTTCCTGTTACCAAAACCTCTCTGCCCCCCAATTTCCTCCTTAGTTTTATGACATGTGGCACACAACTTCACATTGATTCCAAAGTAATGGTCAAGTCTCTCAAGTGCAATTATGGATCATGCACCAAGGTTGCACCCCACCCCCACATGGCACATGCCACATGGAGATTCCTCTAGTTGTCATTTGTACCCTCCTCCTCTACCCACCAAAGAGATAAAGAGGGTGTTTGTGATAAGTCTTAAAAATTGACCCCAAAAAATAAAAAAGTGATAAGTCATAAAAAGTGGGGATAAAGATTGGGCAGGTTTTTGCACCATGCATTCCTCACGAACTTTTCTGGTGCCGACAATTCTCACCAATAATCCTACTAAGAATGGCCTTAGCTTCAATATGTCCAAAATTGGGCTGGGCCACCTGCTTCTCGCACTCCATACCCCAAACTTGTGCTAATCACTATAGACCCACCTTGGACAACCCCAACTCTTTACTACACGAAAGAACCCTTTGGGCATTGAGAGTTGGGTTGGGTCGGGTCCAATATTTAAAAACATAAGGTAAAGTCAAGGTAGGAATGACAAAGCCCATACAAACGTTATTGGGTGGGGATAATATATCAAACTTAGGATCTCAGGTGTATCGATAAATGTTCTTAATCACTTGAGTTAAAATTCCCTTGCAATTATTTTCTTGTTTTAGTGCATTGTTACTAACTATTTGTTACATCGAAACAAATAAGACTACACATTTCATTCAGTGAACATTTATGTTTATTGGTGTGTTGTTCATACAGAATATGTATATCCAAGGGAAGGGAGTAATTGCTCTTCATATTAACGTATACCTGTATGTTGAACTACCAAAAAGGAAAAAAATGGAGAATTCAATTCAATTCACCCGACACAAGGGAAGGGAAACGTTTGAAGGAGGTTAGCTAGGGCAAACTCTTGGGTAATGGAGCCTACCAACAACCTGTAAAGTCTGGGCTTAGCATGTATAATGTATATTATGTATTGCTATATCGAAAAGTAGATGGAGGAGTTATTGGGTTTCTGTATGGTCAAGTTTCAGCTTAAATTAATGGCCTCCCCTTGTTTTTTAAAATAATTATTTATTTGTTGGGTGTGTTCGAGGGGAGGGGAGTCATCTTTCAAGTTGCAAGGAAGTACAAGGACCACGGCCACCACTTGTCAATTTAGGAATGGTGAATTATCCCGAGCTTTTGCTTTCGGGATTCTAATATCACAATCAGCTTTTGATCCATCCACATCCTGGCAATGGCCTCCATATAAAAAGCTCATTCTCTTGGCTTATTTCCCGTTTCTTGTTTTATGCATGTTAAGCCTACGCTTAGGCGCACATATTACAGACAGCAAGCCACGTACTAATCATCCAGTTCCTATCACTAATAACCTCAACTCATGCATGTATACCTATGATCAATCATTAATTCCTGATTGTTAGGCGCTTAATTCGTTAATCACATGAAGAGCCGATTGACTGGGTGCCAACTTGGTTAGGTAAAGACAAGAAACCCTCCAAATAATAAATACCAATAACTTCATTTTCCTTTCTTTTATTTTCTTTGTTTTGATTGATTGCTGGCTATGCAAACTCATGACATGGAATAAATAATGGATGGCCTCACCTTAGTCAGGAGAAAGTTATAGATGACGATTACGTTTATCAATACAATACCACAAATTACAGATACATGCATGCAGAAACACACAGACACTCACAAATAAACACAAAAGAAAAATACCCTAGCCATCATGAGTCTCTCTCTCAGCGAGTGGTTTTGCTGAGATGGGTCCCACTGGATTCCACCACCAAAGCAAAGAGCAAGCGAAAGAGCCTCTTCCCTTTCCAGATACTGATCCTGATGAATGATTCTTCTTTCTATCCCAGACCAAAGAGACTGAATTGGGCTGTAGACTTTAGTCCTCACGATCATCACTTGAGGCTTAGAATCCAAAACCCTGGGACCCTTTGGGCTCCCTCCGTCCATCCATCCTCTACTACTACTATTATTATTATTATTATTATTATTAGTATTCCCTCCCTGTGACAGCCTTATTTCCCTGCGCCACATATATAATATACTTGGTTCTTTTTTCTTTTCCTCCACAGGAATCACATATTGGTTTTTACTTTTGTCTTCCTTGTAAAATAAATAACATGACCAAATTAATTAGCTGTGCAAAAACAGTCTTAATGATTCGATTATTGTTGAAAACCATAATCTGATTGATTTGATTCGAAAAAGGTCTTATCTGCACTTTGTTAACCAGTGATGTAGGAGGAGAACCTTACCTTATCATCAGAAATTCAGGGTTTAGCCTCACCCTTTGCCTTTAGACGGCAAAGACGGTGTAAACATCTCATCAATATCAAAGCAATAATTACACAGATCAGCTAGCTAGCTTTGGTCTTTTGCTTTATAATTAAAGTTAAACCTTTCCATAAGAAATCATATCGTATGTTTGTATGTATTCATTAAATTGCTTTTTGGCGTAGAAAATTATCCAATTGAATCAACATTTTTAATTTGACAATGAATTCAAATTATCAAATTCAAATTTTATTCCTGACCAAGGAATTGAATTGAATGAATGACATTTTATATGTTGATAGAAAGCCAACCCTTTTATTACCATCGTTTCCCTTTTTGTCCGGCTAAAATGATTTTTGTCCCCACCCTGCCTTTAATACGAACAGTACCATGAAGACACCCACCATGCAAGTCATTTTGAAGCAAAGCAGGGGCAATTTGGGAGAAGCTGAGTCAGCTAGGACGGTAATCTAGTCTGCATTAAACAATTCCACGTCAGATATGTAGAATTCTCACGTAACTTAAATGTCCTTTAGCTTCCTTCCTTCCCCACCCACACCACACCCCAAAAGACCCCAAAGCCAAAGGGGACAGAGAGAGAGAGAGAGAGAAAGATTGAAGAGCTAGAGAGAGGAGTGAGAAAGCTAATTAAAACCACAGAGTGAAGTGAACTGTGAATACCATACTCTACTCTACTCTACTGAGTCTACTCTACTCTTCATTATATTTTGGGTGCTAGCTGCAGATTGCACAACAAGTTTAGTCACCAGAGAAATGGGTGAAGTAAGTATCTCTTTTCTCCCATCTCCCAACACTAACAAATATATATATATATATATATATATATATATATATACATTTCTTTGTATCGTTAATCGATAACACCAGTAGTTTATGGTTGAGATCTTGATCTACCACTTCTTCAATCGTGCTTTCATTTCATGGATCTTCTCTTTGGGTCTGCAAACTAGACCCTTTTGATGTCCTGCTTCCGACTGTTTCTTGTGTAATAGTATTTACACATTCTTACTTTCTGTAGCTTCATGTATAAATGGCATTTAATTGATTTTTAATATTTTCTGTGTGGACTGGAAACCAATTAAAGGAGAAGAAAGAGGAGAAGAAGGAGGAAGAAAAGAAGAAAGAAGGCAAAGACGGAAAGAAAGCAGAAGAGAAAAAGGAAGAAAAGAAAGAAGAAGAGCCTCCGGAGATTCTACTCAAGGTCGATATGCATTGTGAAGCTTGCGCAAGGAAAGTTGCTAGAGCCTTGAAGGGTTTTGAAGGTAACGATTTCTTTTTCTATATTTTTACCTTTCATAGTTTTGAATTCTAATGAGCTAGGAAAGTATACGTAATTCAATTTGATGTAGTTAGAGAGGGCAGTTCATGTTTAGCACGTTTTTCTTGAAGAAAACATTTTTGTAATATATAATTCATTCCTAAACTAATCAAAAAGAAATTAAAAGGTGTACAAATATAGAATAGAATTCACGCCCTAGGAGGTAATCGGTGAAATTGTGGTTGTGGTTGGACGGTGCAGGAGTGGAGGATGTAACGACAGACAGTAAGGCAAGCAAAGTGGTGGTGAAAGGCAAAGCGGCAGACCCCATAAAGGTGTGCGAAAGATTACAAAAGAAAAGCGGCAAGAAAGTGGAGCTCATTTCACCTTTACCCAAACCTCCCGAGGAGAAGAAAGAAGAACCAGTTAAAGAAGCTGACAAGGAAGAGAAAAAAGAGGAGGTAATTCTCTTCAAAACCTGCTTTTACTCACCCTCTCTTTAACTTTAACTTTAACTTTACCACCCATAATACGAGATTAGAGTATAATTAATATCAGATGTTAACCCATCACCCTTTACTGGAACTGATATGATAAACAGAAGTTGATTAAATTAATTAATTTTACGTAGGGTATGGATGGGCACGACTCACACATCACAGTTCCCTAAAACAGTGAATTTTGAGAATGCTGTTTAAATTATATGCTGACATGAAAGTAACAATTCAAAATGATACCCCACCACCTCCACCTTCTCCTCCTCCACACCAGAAAAGGCACATTTCACAAGACTAGTCACCACTCGGTCTAGCTTTAGCTACCTCTCCTCCACAGGGACCAGACTTATGCTGCTAAGCTAAGGGTTTTGACCATTCATTTACCATCCACCATTCGCCAAGCTGCTGTATGTTGTACGTACAAAGTTACAAACTACAACATGCACTGCAGCAATCCATTTTGGGTGTCACGACTCACGGGTACATGAAAACCAGTATATATAGGCATAAATTAATACAATAATTTTAAAAATAACTAAACACAACACACCTATCATAAACAAATCTGCATATGCATGTACTCGCAATACCTTGGCTTCGAGGCTGCTGCTTGTCGTGTATTTGCAGGATCTTTTTGTATTGTATATATCATATATTATATATATAATATGTACCCCACTCCCTCCCATTGGGAGCTGCGTCTGTTGGCATCACATGTCCACCATTACTCCTCCTGCCCCTTGGGCCTTGCTACTGCATCAACTTTAAACAAGTATAATATATATCTAATTAGGTAAACTGGGGCGTGCATTCGAGAAATCAAAATTGTATTTAGACACAAGTCTCTTAGCTAGTTAGGTTACAGAAAGAAGACAAAGTAGTTAGACCAAGAAATCAAAATTGTAGAGAGAGATGATGCTTAATTAGTAAAATTTGACCTTGTTGTTTTAAGAATCAAATTATTTGATTTAGATATATAATCATATTATTATTTGTGAGGGGTATTAATTGTACAATTTCATATATCTGACCAGTAACTTATTAATTCAATCTACATATATATTGTCAGCCTCCGGCTGTTGTTACAGTGGTATTAACAGTTCGAATGCACTGCGAAGCATGCGCTCAACTTTTACAGAAGCGAATCCGAAAGATCAAAGGTATATCCATTATATATTATGCACTCTGTCAATAAGTAAAATATGATTTTACCGACTATATATATGGTAATTTTATTCAAATGAAACAACTCCTCATAGCGAGAGGGGTATATGTATTCAGACCCCTTGCTGGTGTAAGCAATAGGATTTAACGCCTGGGAGGATGGGGTAGGTAAGAATGCCATCCCAACCTAACAGCAGGACGCCCGAGTCCCGAGGGTATATTTTCTGAATGTGCATAAAGGGCCGCCTAACTTGTTGAAAAACAAAATCCACATCCAACTATAAATAAAGCTAGCTGCTATAGTTACTATTTTATATATCCAAGAATGAACAGTAACTAGTTATTGGTATGAATCTTACTGGAACATATACAGATAACCATATATGCATCTTGCTGAGGAATGTGTTATTGCAGGTGTGGAGTCAGTGGAAACAGACGTCGCTAACGATAAGGTTGTAGTAAAAGGTGTGGTGGATCCTGCCAAGCTTGCTGAGGAGGTGTATAAAAAAACCAGAAAGCAGGTTTCCATTGTGAAGGAAGAAGAAAAGAAGGAAGAAGAAAAGAAGGAAGAAGAAAAGAAAGAAGAGGAGAAAAAAGAAGGAGAAAAGAAAGAAGGGGAGGAAGACAAAGGATCAGAGGATAACAAGTTTGATATCAAGCGGACCGAATATTGGCCAACAAAGTTCTACGCGGATTATTCTTACCCTTCCCCGCAGATTTTCAGTGATGAGAACCCTAATGCCTGCTCCGTTATGTGACTATAAATAAATAAAGCATGACTCTAGCTAGTAAGCATGCAGTAAGATATGCCTGCCTGCTGCCTCCCTATATATGCAATTTTCTACGTACATGTGCGGTAACTAATAAGAGACAATATTGCAACCTAAAATTAAGAGTCTATGCCACCCTTTCTTGGCATACTATGTGTAATTTTATGTCTAAATTGCTGTCTGTGGTCTGAGGTTTGAAGTATATGTAGTCATACAATAATGAGTTCCCTCTGGCCTAAGTTTGTATATCGCATATGCTCTAGCTAGCTATCTCTAAACTTGTGAATTTTTGGTGTATCTACTCAAGTGACGTATAAGTCAAGAAGCCTCTTCCTTAATTTGATTCTGCGTGAATTATTAGATGTGAAGATCTGGGAACAAGACTCTCTCTGCTACTGGACCTTCTCTGTTTAATGAATTTCAACTTTCATGATCAGATTGACTACTACGCCCAATCTTTTTTCTTTCTTTCTTTTTTAAAGTTGCTTTTGCCTCAAACTCTTGTCAGATAAAAGAGATAAGGCAGAAGTGACAAATAATGTAAAGCAGTTTGAGACAGGTTGAAGTTAAATATATATTATTGGTACGTACCGAAGGTATATATTGAGGATCTTTGGGATAATGAAATGAAACAATATTATGGTGGGCTTAATTAGGAAAATGTAGGCAAGCTGGTGAATCTAGAATTTAAATTTTGAGCTTTGGACTTGGACATATATTATATGAATGACAGGCCAAAAAGAGAAGAGAAGGTTGGACATACGTTGTACTACTAGTCTATATACTAATTGAATGTGGGCAGAAATCAAGTGCAGTGGCTCTAATACTATAAAGGGTACAAATTAGTACGAGTAGTGCAGGCAGTGGAAGAAATTGGAAACAAAGTCAAAATAATAGGTGTGGTGAATGGCTGAGGAAAAACCCAACGGAATTGTATAGTTTTGCACCACCTTTAAAAAGCATCTCATCAAGATTCAAGAGAGAGCCCATGGCACATGAGCCACTCGTCTCGTTAAAGATGCCGATGCCTCCTGGCTGCGCTGGTGTGTGGTGGTCTAGATATGTCAACTTACATACAATAAAGATATATATATATATATTTGTCAGGCCGTACATAGTCACGAGTAGTAGTGACCACACAATTGTCAATTGTAATGATGAGATCCCTCTGCTCTGCCACTCGATATCATCCAGAAGAGAATATGGAAATAATTGGTCCAAATGGATGGAACATATATACCTAGTTCGTCTATTGTAGTGTAGCTAGCTAAAAAGGAAGAAATATTATGGTTGGTGGTTGATGGTTGATGGTTGATGGTTGATGGTTGATGCTGCTGCTCTACTCTAGTGCGACCATGACTTGTGAGGAGGAGGCTGCAGATGATCACCCATAAATTAACAAGTATTCGTTGCCCAACCTAGTTACGTTTTTAACATTCTCATTTGGGCTTGCTGTATATAGCTTAGCTAGCCACAGCCTCCCATAGTTTTGGAACATAACATTCATCAAACTGACGCATTCATATATGAAAGAATTTACAAAAATAACATTTATCCAGTTATTCTTCCTGGAATTGATACACACATACATATATATGCTCATTGTGAAATGTGAAGTATATATATATATATATATATATACAAAGCAACTGAACAGCAGCAGTGGACCACAAGGCCACTGTGAATTTGGTGGAATATATATAAAGCTAATGTGATGGAGAGATCTTGATTAACCGAAAGGTGAAATAGACTGGTAGGTGGAGCGATCGAGCGTGCATATATACATATATATGATCCTTAGCTTGCCAGGTTTCTGAGGCTTGGAATCCTCCTCCTAATAAACTCATAGCAGGCTCAATGGGAATGGCAGTCCACTTATACATATAAGTTGGGCCTCATCGAATGGTGACAGACGAAACATACTGCTTTAAACCCTATAGATAGATAGAAATAGAATCTTCTTTTTCTTTTTTCTTTTTGTTAGTTTGGCTTGTGTTTTTGGATGGAATATGTCGCTGGCTCGAGTTAGAAAGAGACATGATGCAGTGAGGGTGAGGCCCACCTATTTTTGTTTGCAGGTGGTAGATGCAATGTCTTGTTTTCTTTCTTTCTATATCACCACTCTGGTTCACGACCACCATGTGGATGGAATTCTTTGTCCCTAATTATACATACCTATTCAGATTCCTTCTTTATCAACCCAGCCACTCGTAGGGTATAGCTAACAAGCATGCCTTAAAGTTTGCTTGAATGTTTAGTTGTATATATATACATGCATCAATATTGCGTGTGTTTTGGTATCTATTTTAGTCGTCGTGTTGCTTGTCCTAGTTAAATTTGTAAGTTGGATATATATATATAATAATTATACCTTCATACTAATAAATAATTGGTACATGCAATGCAATCAGTCTTAACATTTCATGCCATGAAAGGATTAATCAACCTAGTTGGAATCGGCCCACCACCAATTATCATCCCCTCTCCCTACTGAGTTCCTATTATATATAATCAACCTTGAAGAGTTAATATTTATGACTAGACTTTGACTGTAACGCAACAATTACAAACCCAAAAACAAAGTAACAAAACATTAATTACTAATTAATAGAAAATCAGGCCAGATTAAAAGCGAGTTATAATAATAATGGTGGTGTTGGAAGATGCATAAAGTTTGTTGATATGTTTTATCCTCTGTATATATGTATTTCTTGTAATTTTGACTTACGACGGTGCGAGTCCATTTTTTTCCTTTCCATCTTTAATAATAACGATATTAGTCGGATGGATGAGTCAATAAAATGGAATGAACTTTAGATATCAATCTAATAATTAAAGATATAATGAAGTACATATTATATATATACGATTTGTTTTGGATCCATCTAATGATTGAGAGATGAAGTTATCGAAGGCTCTATTTCTCCATCTAATATCTGATCTTTGTTATTCTTTCTTTACAAAGGAGTGCCAGCCGTTGCTTGCAACTAATATTACGATGAAAGTCTGAACTATGAAGAGAACCCTAATTAACTCTTGTGATATGCGATCTCTAATATTATATATGGATGGAAAACACGTGTGTTAACTTATCAGTGCCAGTGGTGTGATCTTTTCAAATCTAAGAGCATCTACAGTGGGGGGTGTATATGGGGGTGTATGTTAAATATACACCCCGAGTCATCGGAATCGTCTCCAATGGTGAGATGTAAATGTATGTAAATATACATCACTACCATGGGGATGTAAAATAAAATGTATATTTACATTCATTTTTACATCCCTTGCAGGCGGGACCCACCCAAGAAAAGATAACAAAAATGAAGAAAAGTCAACATAAAAAGCTGGGACCCACGGCTACACCCCCGAATTTACACCCCCCACTGGAGCAAAAAACATATTTCCACCCCCGGGAGGTGTAAAGGGGATGTAAAAGTGACTTTACACCCCCGAATTTACACCCACCACTGTGGATGCTCTGAGTGCATGCCTACTTTTGTATCTATGTTTTGGAGATTGAGGAGGGAGGAGAGTGGTGAGTGCTCAATGAATCTCAACTGCTGATTTTAGTCAACCCTAAATTTATGAGTTGAGAGGACTTGGGGGGTCCACTCCTAGCGGTGGGGCCCTCCTCCTCCACTCTTTCGATTCGAGTCACTGTGTGACTCTGTGTTTGCAAAACCAACGGTTTCGGAGTCCTCCATGTGTCCGTCCTCTTGCTCGCTCTGCATAAAATGCTGCAAAGGGGGTCCATCTCATCAACTTAGTCTTGATTGTTCTTAGTATTTCTCCATAAAATTAAATTAAATTAAATTAAACAAAATCAACTTAGTCTTGGTCTCTTTGCAAAAGTCTACTGTAGGGCCCCACCGCCACCGCGTATGGAAGCGAGCGCAGAAGACTCTGGTTTGTGATTGTGATATCCTTCGATTCTTCTTTCCAATGGCAATGTGAATGTCAGTCACACACGCTCACATCGGACATTCAATCCAACTGCCACACTTCCACACTTCCACACTAACTAGCTAGCTCCTTTTCTTGTTAATTTCTTTCCAGCAGAAATTTGAAAATATCACAGATATATAATATCATTGTCAGTTCGTAAGTTACTCAAGTTAGGAAGAAGTAGAAGAAAAAATAAACAACTGGCACAAATTGGGAATCCTAAATTGATTTGCAGGAATTATGTTGAATAATCTAAAAATATCACATCACAAATTTAAGAAGATAAAATACAATATTGAAGTGATGCTTTTTTTTATTTTATAATAATTTTATACAAACGATATTAAGCTCATTGCTATAAATTATTAATTTTGCCAGCATGACTTAATTCGATGAAAAAATAATATTGACTTGCAAATCAATAATTTCAAATTCAAATCCCTATAATACATAGATAGTGTTGTAATTTTTTTTTTTTTAAACTATTAACTTTTAACAGAGTGTGATAGTGGGCTGATTGAATCTGCTCGAATTACTGGTATGTGTTTAGTGCGTGGTATTCACGAGCCCAAATTACTGGGCTTTTGTGATAAAAATGATGTTTCAATTATGTGAAATCTGAACAAATTATAGATTTGATTTATGCTCGAATGTAAAAACACGTTGGATAAGGACAGACCTGGGAATCCTAAATTGATTTGCAGTAATTATGTTGAATAATCTAAAAATATCACATCACAAATTTAAGAAGATAAAATACAATATTGAAGTGATGGTTTTTTTTAATAATAATTTTATACAAACGATATTGCGGAGGAAGAATTCAAACACAATGCATAAAATAATAACTATTTTTAACTTCTTAAACTATAAGCTCATGGCTCTAAATTATTAATTTTGCCATCAGGACTTAGTCCGGTGAAAAAATAATATTGACTTGCAAACCAATAATTTCAAATTCAAATCACTATAATACATAGATAGTGTTGTAATTTTATTTTTTAAAACTATTAACTTTTAACATAGTGTTAGTGGGCTGATTGAATCTGCTCGAATTACTGGTATGTGTTTAGTGCGTGGTATTCACGAGCCCAAATTACTGGGCTTTTGTGATAAAAATGATGTTTCAATTATGTGAAATCTTAACAAATTATAGATCTAGGTGTAAAAACACGTTGGATAAGGACAGACCTAGGTGTGACATGGAGCGAATTAATGCGGGTCCCACTTTTACAAATCATGTGTGAAGCCAAAGATGGTTTTTGCTAAACACAAGGCAATTGTGTGCAAGGCGTTCGAGGACACGTGATGTTCACACGCGCAGTAAAGTTGCGGCGACCAACCCTGGCCATTGCCGTTGCCGTTGCCACTCCCAAGTCCTAAATCCCAAATCCCAAATCCCAAATGAATGATCGAATCCACTACCACCATTGCCTTGCTGTCATACAATTTTCCTTCCCTTTTCGCTAATTTAATATCTAAACCTAAAGT